ATTTAGGGTCGATGCAAATAAATAAATAATAAATTTAAATTAGTTTTCTTCTTTCATTCTCTTCTATCACTCGTCATTTTCCTTCATGCGGTCTTTCATTTCATTGCAAAATGCTTACGGCTTTTTTCATTTAAGGCCTGCCGCCTAACTGATGCCAATTATCCTTGGAAATGTTATGATACTTCGTATATAGTATAAAGTACCATGTGCTCAGATCAACTTTGAGGTAAAAGGAAAATTTAAATTTTCTCACATCACTTTGATCTTTGTAGATTTGTGCGGTTGTTTTGAGCATATTATATATTCTATATTCATATTTTATATTCTCCAGCTTTATGATAGTGAATATTTGATTTTCACACACTTATAAGGATATAAAATTTATAACACAATGAACGACTCTCAGAGTAGAAGAATAATATAGCCATTTACTGCTATCTTTTCCTTATCATGAAATGTTTCAAATGTATTTATTTTAAGTATATGCGAGGATTAGGTACTGACGCCAATACTTGAAGACATTAAAAAGTTATTCCGATGGGTTCAATCTCAACTCGTATACCTCATTTTTTTTTCTATTTTTACTTAGACACTTGCAATTTAAGAGATACAAGTGACATACTGGCCACAGAGTGCGTTTTCAAGAATTGTGAGGGGGCGGGGGAGGGGATTTAGGCCTTCGGTTTATTTCGGCCTTCGGTTATATTATCGGCCTCATTAGCTAAAAACAAGAAAAGAATTGCTCAGCATCGGTTTTCTATGAGGCCGTGGTATAATTTCGATCGAGCAGGCCCATTTGTGCTGCTACAAGGCTCTCCCAATATCCGATGTAACTTAAACACAGTATTTAAAAACACTTGCTCACACAAGATATACATGTTGATAACAAATGACAGAACGTTGTCGCGATGTCCAAGTAAATTCCGAGCCAGTTTCAAATGCAAAACTTGATATTTGAAATTCAAAGTAACCAACGTAACATCCTGCTGCTGTACAACAATTCCGCTCACGACTCTTCCGGGAATATAAACTAAGGTATTCCGACATCTGAATGCCAGTTTTAAGATTTTTTATAGAAAAATATGTGACAAATAGCTTAACTCAGGTCTCTACTTAAAAAAATATTATTTGAGTTATAACATTTAGAAACCCATTTGCTACTTATTATGAAAAACATCCGGGCGGCGCGGGGGTGAAAAAATCGAATTATTATCATTATCGACGTATAACTTATGTATATAAATCGATTATTCGTTATTAGCTACAATTAAGATAGCTTAGACATGTCATTCTCTTTCTGACTTCGCTGCAGTCAGTCGGGTAATAAGAGCGAAAATTTTTCTACGGCAATAGTGCTAACTATCGAAGAGATAAATACGTATGCCTATTTATTAAAGTTTATCTGTAAAAATATGCAATATGGTCACGAAGCACCTCTATCTTAAACCATAAGGCTGAAGAATTTTTCTTCTCTAACTTCATATATTTATGAGATGTTCATAAAGCCGTACCTTGAATATAAAACCGGGGTGTGACTGTCTACTATTATGTGTTTAATATTTTTGTCACATTTTTGTAAAGTTTTGATATATTTATATGATGGAACACATAAATTACAAGGTGTTAAATAGTAGTCAATTCCTTTTTCTGCCTAATAAATCTAAACTGTAGTATTCTTAGATAACTTCTGAAAAAAATATCTTAAATTTCTTGATAGAACGTTCATGTTCTGAGTAGTTTAGCAATTCATATGCCTTTCTATTTTATAAGTAGATGGCTTTGTAGAGCATCTAGAGTAACAATTCACAGGACATAAAAAAACGGTCTGCAGTTAGTTTCAAATTAAAGTATAATCTCAAAATAAAAGTCCTAAAGTTTGATACATGTTTGTATGCTATTGAAGTACGGAGGTACTTCAATAGTAATTCAAACTTCTTTAAAATTATTTAATTGAAATGTAACTTTTACATTTTCCCTCTTAGTGAATTAGAGTACTATCAATTGCCACTTGCATAGGACTTCATAAAGAGTATGTTAACAGGTGAATATTTTTTTCTTCTATCCGAGATCGTAGAAATATACTCGTCATTTTCTGACATCGCAACTGTCTGTCACCACTACCAGTGTTTGCAAAGTACACATTAATGTCATTTGATCTATTGTTATATAACTTTTGAACTTTTGAACTTAGTCTCTTCTTTATTTTTCTGAATTGACAATTCGGTGAAGCACTCTTGTTTAAAGCAAAAATCACTTTTTAAAGACCATTGTAGTTCTGTTGTCAAAAGTATAACCACTAAGTTTAACAGAAATGAGAACATTATCGAAACATTATTTTTATTTTCCTTTTAGTATTGCCGACACCTATATTTCTAAAGCAAGTTTGATCTTATTTTATTCCACATAAAAGTGAGAATTTTTATATTTAAGCAAGTATGAAAGTTTTATCGAGTTTGTTTCGAAAGTGGGCGTAAGGGGATGAATGTTAATATTTCACTAAGTATATACTTATTCCGATTTTCTAACAATATTTCAATTTCACTAATAGATTGAACTTGATGCGAAAATAGCTTTTTATAAATATTTATACACTACCAAACAATGTGTTTAAATTCTCTTACACTATTTTGCATAAAAGTTTGTTACGTGAAAAGCTAAAATGTATTGCTTTAAGTTACGCATGGAGAAACTTATAAGTTTAAATTAAGTCACGTATTATGTTAGGTCGGTTCTTTGACTTATGTACTTTAAGCCAATCTCATCAAAACTAATATTTCAAAAGTGAAAGTGTCTACTAAATCACTTTTAGCTAAGCCAACAATCCCGCAGACTTGTAGATTAGTTGGTAACTTTGGAAATGTATAAAACAACTATTTGTGAGTTTCACTTGATGGGTTAAATTTAAGGAGACTATTCTTTTGGCAATGTATAAAATAGCGTGCTGCAAACTGACAGGCTTAAATAAAAAAAAAAGGAATGTATACTCGTGAGTCCATGGATTAGGAATAGATGGAACTGAAACGAAACTGACAATTTTTATCAGATTTATGCTAAAGTATTAAGGGCTTATGTAAAAGAAAATGTTGTTGTTAGAAAGTTAATATTTTTTACTAATTAAGCATTTTTGGTTGAATAACATCTTAAAAAAAGCTACTAAATTTAGAACTTCCTCTTTTTGAAACATTGGAGTCGCTTAAAAAGAAATATTAAGGGTCTGGCTCATTATGTTTTACTGCTACCTTTCTCTCCAATTATCAGCTCATTCACAAAATAAAAGTAATATCTAGTGACTACTGCCCACAAAACGACTGTGCCTTAATTGAAGAGAAATTAATTTTCTGACATCAAAATAAATGCAAACAAAAAATGTAATCACGAGTTGTCTTAATCCCTTAGGTGTAGTAATAATAATTCAATTTCCTAGTATTAGAAATATATAATATTTGTTTACTGGTTTTGTAAATGTCATGACTACAATTTTTCAGGTGATTGGGTGTATTGCATATCTTTGCATACAAAAATATTAAGTTGGTTCGATTAAAAACCTACAAAAAGTTCTGCACGAATTGAGCTCAAATTTTGATGCGATATGCAACCTGCGTTAAAGATTGTTTTTAATCTATTTCTTGCGTCAGTTTTGTTCCTAATTTTTCATCAATGCAACCAACATGTGCCAAAGCGAATCGTGACAGGGTACAGTTAGTATTATATGAAATACACCCTTATTTCACACTAATACATGCCTACGATTACTTTTAATGTAGACAATATGGATTCTTTTCAGTTTTCTTACAGGTAAACTAAAAGGGGAATACATAAAAAAATGTAATGAGAATAAAAAAATACATTTATAATAGGTAAATATTCTTGGCACGTAGCCGATGTTTGTACAACACGGATTTGCGGGAAGCGATGATTGGGGTGTGGTTACACACAAATCATCGCTTCAAGGAAACCCAAGTTATAGTAGCAGCTTCGATATCTTCTTACTTCCCCATAGATAACTTACAAATCTATGTACTATTATCGCAGTCATTAAAGAAATAAATAATAATTTCACACATCTCACACACGGCAGTCTGATCCTAAACTTGGCAGAGCCTGTTCTATGGTAACCAGACTGCCGATAAACTGACTTATATATTTCTAAATACATACATAATATAGATTAATTACACGCAGGCACAGAACAAATGATCGTACTCATTGTTGTTGTGTCTGAGATCGTTTAAACAATTCGGAAAATGGAAAACAATAGCAAAACGACAAGAAAAAATAGCAGTCTAACCATTATTTTCCATAATCCAAATTAACATTTCTAATTTGCAGAACTCTGACATTTATGAACCGATTCTGATAAATCGGAACTTGGAGTCATTTGGTCCCTTGGGTGTTTAGGGAATAAAGAATACTATTTATTACGGTTATCATGATGTATGCGAATGAAACTGATACTTTTTAAAACTCAACTATTTCAAAAGGTTGTGTGACACTTAGACTAGAGCGGCTTTGTTTACTGAATCATTTCTAATTTTACGTCCACTAAAAGCAACTAAGTACTTGTTGCTGCTAAGGAAGGTAAGCTTTTCTCTAATCAATCTTCAATATAAAATTCTAATTCTACTATTATTTACATACAGTTGTTACGTAGTTTATGATTGTTGATCTGACAGCGTAGCTCACACGGCATGTAAGAAAGCTTGTATGTCCATGGAGATTCAATTGTGCTTCAATCTTCTCTGCTTGTTTAAATATGTTTCATATTAACCATTCAACTCCTTCCATACGCTTAGTGCACCAAAGCACTTATTACTACAATATCGTAAGGTAGATTGACGGAGAATACCTATGACATTAAGTCCATACATTTTTTTTTAATAAGTATAATGTTTTCTTTAATTTTATTTATAAGTATATATATTATATATATATAATTATGAACTAATATACTATAAAACACACTCCGTAACGATACAATTTATTAACTTTATTTTACTTACCAATATCAGCAGCAGCGTGCAACAAGTCTGCTAGAAGCTCCGGTTCGTGACAGGCAATAGCTAGCCTGTCATCGTGGAGCCTGACAGCTTCAAGGTCTGCGGGCACTGCCTCCCTTAGTTGGAGCGCCACAGCACCCTCCCTTCCTACTGACGCACGGTACATCAGCACGGCTCGGTGTGGAAACGACGACAGCGGAAATCTAGTTGTTTGGACCTGTAGACAAAAAAAGTCTATAATTATTTTAATATTAATTCTCGAATATAAGGTTGTTACTGTTGATCAACGTTCATGCGGGTAAATAATATATTACAAGTTCTGTGTTTTATTAGTTTTAGAATATTAAATCTACATTGGGCAGAGTTGGAGTAAATTATTATTCTTCCTTTTTAACATTTAACCATTTTTAAGTTCTATTATTTTATATCAGCAGTAAGTATCTATTATGTACCCCTTTTTTTCCCTGTGATGGTTGGAAAAACCGCACGTCGTCTCGTTACCAGTTGCCGGGGAACCAGGTGTACCCTAGAAAGGGAATCCCTGGTACCCCGGAGTACCTCGGGCCATCTACGGCGTGTAGATGACCCCCTCCTATGTGGGAACCCCTATGTTCCCTTTGTGCTCCCTGGCCTGCGCTTATGGAGGACGGAGATCGTTCTGCGACCTCCGGAATCTGCTATTATGTGGCCCTAACCTAAACTGTATCAAATTTGTTGAAAGCCAGCTGCAAGATAACCAAAAAGGGACATGATCGATGATAACTGTTAAACGTAAGCTTCCAAAAAGTAGTTTTCTAATGTTAATTGTTTTAAATTTATTCGATAATACGATACGATAATAAACACATTTTTTCGATAATATGAACCTATTGATTTTTGATTATAATCATACTTGATAGAAGAAATTACGTCACTTTGAAAAATTATTCATTAAGTGCTGACCACCCTATTGTGAGAATCATAGAAGTACTAATTACATAAGTATTCAGTAACGGGGGTCTTCAGGGCTCTTCAATAAATTCGTTTATTTTGAAAATTTTCGAAAACGGTTTTTTTTGTAAAACTTACAATTTGATTAAATTAAATAACACAGAATGATATGCTATATTTTCAAAAGAAGAAATCGTTGTGTGGTGGCGCCGTTCAAACGTCCCTCTTAAATAGGAATTTTAACAGACGCCACCTGCATTTCAAAATGTACAAACATAAACTTTCTCGCGATGAAAAGAGACGCCGCCAGATGTCGCGCCAACAATAAGTACCACATATTAAAAGTTATCAATAAATTAATCGTTAAAAAAATCACTGCCAAAGTAATAACTTCCTTAATAATAAATAACTTCGTTAAGTGCAGCTTAACTTGAGTTAAGAACGGTATTCACCGTTCATCATTAAATATTTACAAATTGTAGGTCTGTAAAAATCACATGTTTTGAAGAAAGTGATAAATATCTCAAAAAGATTTGGAATGCTTATTTAAGTTCTTCAACAACACAAGAAATTAGTAGTAATATTATACAGCTACATACGTTTGCCTTAAGAATTCTGATGGTATTGTCATGAACAAAGGCTTAACATGTTCAATCGAATTATCCACAACAACCGTTGAATTACGAAGCTTTTGGAGAATAAAGGAGAAACCATTAGCGATACTCATGATGTATGGCATGGCAAGTTAGTAATTTAGCACGTTGTTCGAATACATCAAAAGCATATCCATCATAATCTAAAATACATAATTATGAATCGGGCTTCTGTTTAGAAATGTGTCTCACATATGAAGTGGTATACGAACATGATAAATAAACAATTGTAGGGAAACTATTCAAATAAAGCGTGTTCTTTTTCAAAAGCCGAAGCCTACGGGCTTTAGGTGTACGCAGAAAACAAAAAATGAACGGCTAAACGGCTTTTTTATTTGAAAGTAGATACAATGTGAAGGCTAAAATAAAAGGCTAAAATAAATCTTGCAATTTTGGTTTTGAATTATAAAATCGTAAATGACTATTACATACCATACATAGTATTCATGACATGATATTTACATTTATTAAGTAAATTGTTAGACTGCCTTAGTGTAATACGTATTAGGAACAAGGCTTGTACGGCTATGACTATGCCACGGAGAGGATAACTTATTTTAAACGTTATAAAGGGCATATATTTAATATAAATATATTTTGTTAAATCTTTTGTCTTCATTGTACAAATGTTGTAAACTACGTCTTTCTTACTTACTTATTCTTACATTAGATGAATGTTAAAAAAACACAGGTAATACTCATTATTACTATCCTAATAAAAATAAATAGTGATGACTGTTTTTTTTAAGCGACTTAAACTTAAGTTAATATGGAAAATAGATACTACCTAGTCCTGATGATGATGTCAGATAAAATGTTCTTATGACAACTACAGTACAGTAGCAAGAAAGAGATCAGTACTAAAGATTGTCTGAAGGTGGAACTTGGCCTTACAAATGTTTTTTTTCTAAAAATCTTTCATTTCATCGTCACCCTTTGCAGTCCACATGCTGGACATAGGCCCCATAGGACTTCTCGCATCCACCTCCTGCCAACCATCCTGCGCAAATCGTTACTCCATGTTTAATTCCTCTCAATTATAATCAATATATTTCAAATTAAATGAAACTAAATTCAAGCGGGAGTTATTAAATTCCCTTTTTTACTAATTTACTAATTTACTTTTAACTAATTTAATTTACCAACTACGCTAGAACAATGACAGCAGGCTTATTTTCTTTACGAAATTAATAATTAATCAGGCCCAACAAATATTTTTTAATTAGTCTTTGATACAATAATAAGAATGCAAACGGAATGTAAACAGAATTTTTATTACATCTATATATATAAATATATATCATAACTTTCGTTGTATCAGAAAACAATGGAAGATTTTGACTTTGTACAGGAACAAGTGTGGTCCAAAGCAAAGGAAGGAGTTTAGTTTTCGTTATACGTCTGTGTCCGTGTAGTGACGGACTAAGAATATGGAGTGTATTTATCCCGTGGGTGTCGTACGCAGAACAACAGCACTGTAAGGAGATGAAACACTTGTCACAAACCCAACACAACCTGTCTTGCCAGCGTGCCAAAACATCTTTTCTAAGAACAGAGAGGCCTATGACCGGCTGTGGATAATGAAAGGCTGTTGATGATAGGTCTGTGGCTTTATTTACAATACAACTTTATCTAGGCGCAATGGTGAGTATAGTGTCTGCTGAAACAATTGATGTTAGAAACTACTTGGAGAACATTCGTAAAACTGTGCAGAATTCGATGTTACTCAAGACGTAGCTATGAAATTGAATTATTTCTTTTCGTTGTGTTTCAATTGATTTCTCATTTCATTTTAGTATAGATTTTCAGAATGTAATTAATGTTCTAATGACTCACTTGTAAGCTTTATATCTAAAGTTGAACTTGATATAAATATCAAACTAAAATATTGTTGTCGGGTATTGTTCATTGCTGTTGTGTAACGATACCAAGAAATATAATACAATTTTAGGAACCCGCGAAAATAAAACAATGAAACGCATCACTACCGATGAAAATATTCTTGTTTCAATCGAATATCGAGTTGTAAAGTATTTTGATCCGCAAGTCAGCCATAAGTAATTATTGTATTGTAGACTAGATGAAATTAGAAAATGTGATTTCTTAGATTTTATTAGGTGTTAGATTTATATTTCTATAAATACTAAATATTCAGAAAGTGGAGCCTTGGAATAGACATTAGAAACCTGAGCCTAGAATTAGATATTAAATTAATGAAATAAGACACTATAAGACAACAAAAAATACTGAAATCAAACCCACATCTACTTATATTTCATTATTTAATTTAATTTAGCCTGACTGGTTACGACTTATGGCATTTTAAAGGTTACCGTAATGCAAAAGCGGTCAGGACAAATTAAATTAAATAGTGGAATAGAAATACAAGTGAGTTTGATTTCATAATGTATTTCAACAAGTTCCACCAAGTACCGATAGTCGAGAATATAAATTAAAACAACAAAATCAACTTTTTTTGTGTTTTAATAAAAAAAATTGTAAGAAGTAATTAGGTAATTAGATTACTCTGCAGTAAATTAGAAATATTATTATTTATTATTGAAGCCTATACATTCAAACGCCTATACGTTCAAATAGCTCGGGTAAAGTTTAATTGCACTGAGGACGGTTCGTGGATTTCAATTTCAGTATCAAATTGACTAGTAAAACTACATAGTAGTTCGTTTATTCTTTGTTTTACAGAGTCTACAGAGTTCGACATGTGTCAAACTTACTCACACTGTGACAAATTTGCTCTATGTAAAATATAAATGCCATTAAAAATAAATGCCAATGCCAAACATATAAGACCGTGTGGTGACGGATTAAGTATACAAAATGTGACCACCAGACTAAGAGAGTCAACTACGCATTACAGCAGCACTGTAAAGAGAAAGAAAACTTCAAACAAACCAGTGGACCAAAACCTCCTTTCTAAGGAGAGGCCTATGTCCAGCGATGGACTGTGCAATGTAAAGGCTGTTGTTACTCAAACAACAACGAACGAACCACAGTATAAGGCGTCACACTTAATTCAGGTTGGTTATTAATTGTTTACTTTTAACCAACTTCGAAAAAGAGAAGGGATTCTCAACTTAGTTGTATATAATTTTTTAAGCTTCTCACCTCAGAACTATGTATGTTATTTGTAAATGAATGTATTTGCGATTCGAATGTAAATCAATTTAAATTCTTCATTTATGGCAATTCCTCAGATTATATAGGCAAATTGAAGTCGGTAATACTTAAAAAAAATGAGTTGTGTTTTATTTTAGTATACTGTAGGTAATATAGATGTAATTATTAACCTCCATTTTACTACCTCTACTGATTTTTAAACACAATAAACAATGCCGCATTATAACAATTAATACAGAAATATTTCACGCCAACGTACCACGGTGCGGTAATGTCGTGAAAATTGATACAAGAAGGCATACATACTAAGACGAACAGCCTCTGACATAATTACAAGACATTGTATGTCCCTCGGGCACACGACGGTACCTTGATTACATCGCGATTGTCTCTCGTTAGGGGGTAATGACTAGTGCCGGTGGAGACAACAGGCGGGAATTTGGGATTGATGGTAGGTACAGCCAAAAGGAGAATTATTTTTACATCATATATTAAGGGAATATTATATCCCAGTATTTTGTGAGTACGATTATATGTGTGGTTATGCTAACTTTGATTATGTTTCTTTATGACTATTTTTATAACTGATTTGGTAAACATGTGCCCTTATCTAGCTGATATTGAACTTGCTCTTTGTAAATCTTATATAAGACAAAATTACCTACATAAAGTTACTTTGCATGT